ACAGCTCACCCCGAGCCCCCGCTGCACGCCGCAAGGTCCGCCTGGAGCCTGTGCTGCCCTCCGTGGCTGCCCTGTCCTCAGGTACCCGCAGGCTGAAGCCTCAGCTCGCACAGCCGTGCAGGGGTGGGAGGCAGGCTCCAGCGGGGCCATGAGCCACCAAACCTCAGGCCCCAGGAGCATCAAGGTGGAGTAGGGCGGGGGGGGGAGGCAGAGGCTCCCAGCAGGACTTGGGCACCCTCCTTTGCCTTGTGCCTCAGTTTACTCATCTCCCTGCCTCAGGTGCTGTGGAGCGCAAGTTTCGGAGGGATTCTCTCTTCTGCCCAGATGAGCTGGACTCCCTCTTCTCCTACTTTGATGCAGGGGCTGCTGCCGCTGGTCCACGTAGTAAGTGCTGTGAGGGCCCTTGTCCCCTGCGGCCCAGTCCCCTTGGCTCTGTTGGGGCAGCAGAGCAGGGACTGGGTGTGGCTCCCCATAAGGTGGGTGAATGTGGACAGCCACAGCCACTCGCTTGGAGACTGGGGGACAGGTGTCCCTTGCGGGAAGGACTGGGTGGGTGCTGGGGAGAACTTGGGGGTCAAGCAGGGCTAAGGCTGAGATAGTATCTGGAGGGTCTGGGGTTACTCAGCCAGAGCTGGAGGCTGAGGCCGTGATCTGCAACAGTGTATATGCGAGTTGCGTGTGTGGTTTGCACACTGGAGTGAGGGCGTGTGTGTGTGCGTGTGGGTGTAAAGGGGGTCTGTGGCTGAATGTGCATATTTGCGGTGGATGTGTCCGTGTGCACTGAGGGCCCCATGTGCGCACGTGTGTGTGTGTGTGTGTGTGTGCGTGTGCACGTGCATGCCGGGAGCCGACAGCTATGGTGGAGACCGAATGTGGGACACAATTGTGCATCTCTCCCAGCTCCTCTTGGAGCTGGGGTCCAAATGCTACAAGCATGGCTCCCGACCGAGGGGTTCCTGCTAATGATTTATGGGTACCCAGTGGTCCAGGGTACCCCTAGAGCCTTTCCGGGCAATGTGGGCAGAAGGCATGGACCCAGGCCAAGAACTGACAGGGCTGGGGGCGGTGACTGGGATGGCCTCCGGCAGCAGAGGGCGATGCCTCACCATTCCTGCTTCTGGGGCCGCCCTGGGGAAACCATCAGAGATTTCACTGGATGTCGTCGGGGAGGGGTGGGCCGGAGGTGTCCCCGGGGCCTCCCGGTGAAGGCCTTGTGGCTGCTCAGTGGGCTGGCCGCATGCACTTGCCACAGACTCAGCGGAAGCCCCCACTGCTCAGGAGTGTTTCACCTCATCAGTCCTGCTGGGGCTGGCCTCCCACAGCGGGGGCTTCCCCTGGGGCTGTGCTCTGGTGTGAGAGCCTCTGGCTCCTTTGAGCTGTTTTCTCCCCCTACCCCCATCCTAGGCAGGGCTCCCCTCTGCTCCTGGGGCCTGATCGTGTCCCTGGGGCCATCCCTGGAGGATGGATGTGAGCTCTAGCCCTCCCACAGGGCTCTGGGTGGAGTCAGGGACTCTAAGGCCCCCCATCTGTCCCTGGACCCTGCAGGTCTGAGCAGCGACAGTGGCCTAGGAGGCAGCTCTGATGGCAGCTCGGACGTGTTGGCCTTCGGCGCGGGCTCCGTGGTGGACAGCGTCACGGAGGAGGGTGGGTGCGCACCTCCCTGCCACCGCTGCTGCCCAGCCCCACCCTCCCACAACCCCGATCCAGGCTCTGTCATGTGGCAGCTCATGACCTAACCCCTCCCCGTAGAGGGTGCAGAGTCCGAGGAGTCCAGCGGTGATGCGGATGGAGAGGCTGAGGCCTGGGGCCTGGCAGACGTGCGTGAGCTGCACCCTGGGCTTCTGGCACACCGTGCCGCGCGCACTGGAGACCTCCCGGCACTGGCCACGGCGCTGGCGCACGGGGCGGAGGTCAACTGGGCCGACGCGGAGGACGAGGGCAAGACGCCATTGGTGCAGGCGGTGTTAGGGGTGAGCGGGCGTGGGGATGGCGGGGGGCTGCATGGGACACAGGTGCATCTTCAGAGCTCTCTTTCGTATGGCGCCAACACGGGGACCCCTGGTACCCTCCTGGAAGCCAGCAAGGGGCCATTTCCCAGGTGAGTCTGAACTGTCCTCGGTCCCCAGGGCTCCTTGATTGTCTGTGAATTCCTTCTGCAAAACGGAGCAGATGTGAACCAAAGAGACAGCCGGGGCCGGGCGCCCCTGCACCACGCTACACTCCTGGGACGCACGGGGTGAGTCTCCGTTGCCCCTCCTGCCCGCGGTGGGGGCCGGGCCAGGGGGTCGCCTTGGCCTGCCCTGGGCCAGCCCCAACTTGTCCCCTCCCGCCTCCAGTCAGGTCTGCCTGTTCTTGAAGCGGGGAGCTGACCAGCATGCCTTGGACCACGAGCAGCAGGACCCGCTGAGCATCGCGATCCAGGAGGCCAACGCTGACATCGTCACGCTGTGAGCGCGGGCGGGGCCTGGGGCGGGGCCGGAGGGGAACCCCGTAGGGGGGGCGGGGGCGCGGCTCATCCTGTGCCTCCCCCAGGCTCCGTCTGGCGCGCATGGCTGAGGAGATGCGAGAGGCCGAGGCGCCCCCGGGCCAGCCCGGCCCCCTGGCGGGGAGCAGCCCCACGGAGCTCCAGTACCGCAGGTGCATCCAGGAGTTCATCAGCCTCCACCTGGAGGAGAGCTAGGGGGGCGGCCGGCTCTGGACCGCCCCGTCCCCGCCCGCTCCGCCTGCGGTGGCCACCGGCTCATTTCCTGAGAGCCCCAGTGCCTGGGCAGCCCTGGAGCCCGGGCTGCCTGCTCTGCCCTCCTCGGAGCTGTCCCGGCCCCTCGGGCTGGGAGAGACTCCCAACACTGAGTCTTAAGAAGCCCACATTTCCCCTTGGGAGGTGCTGTGTCACCTGGTGCCCATCACCACACCTGGGGACCCTGCGTCTTCAGGTGACCCCTTTCTTGGGCACCTGGGTTGCTTATGTCACAAACCACTCTGAAGGCCCGGTGTCACCTTCTGCCCCTCAGACGCCCCTCCCTCCCGGGGGCCTGTGTCAGTTTGTGCCCCTCCATCCATCCTAGGACCTGTGTCACTTCATGTTCCTCTCTGCCTTCAGGGCCTGTGTCACCTCGTGCCCCCACCTTTACTGCCGTAGAACACTGACCTGCTAGTTGGGTCCCTCCTACACCCCCAGAGCCCCTCCGCTAGGCCCTACGGTTGGTGGCTGGCCACCAGCGCCTTGTGAGGGCTGAAGGGGCAGCCCATCCAGGGAATCAACCCGTGTACCTCACTTAGTGACCGGCGTCCAGGCTGGGCTTCTCGGGTGCTGGGGGGAGGGCTGTGGCCTGGGGCCTCAGCCCTGGCTGGACGCAGGCGTCCCAAGGCCATGTGGCTGGCCACGCAGGCCCCAGTGCTGGGTGGCCAGAGACCTGTCCCTTGGCCCCGAGCCGGTGCATAAAGGACTTTGGCACTTTCCACCCCCGCATCCGACATTCTTTATCACAGACTGAGCGGGTTTTCTACAACGACCTCTTTCTTGCTTTTCTTGCGTCTTTTCTCCGTGGACTCTTGAGGATGACTTTGACGCACCTGGCCCTGCCGGCTGCAGGGGGAGGCTCCTGCCGCTCTGCCCCGTCCCTCTCCGGCCTCAGCCCTCTAGCTGGGCCCTGGGGTGGCCCCAGGGGTCCCTCAGCTCACTCCCCAGGGCCCACCAACTTGTTCGCTCTGCAGTCCCCCTTCCCGGAGCCCTGGGGCAGTGGCTGGGGCCTCTCCCCAACTTGCGGCCTTGGTGTGGCCAAGGCCAGCTGTCTGGTCACTATGCAAAAGCTGTCCAGGGAGGCTCCGTGGGCGGCAAGGTGGGTGCTGACCCAGCCCCCCAACTCTCTTGCCTGTCGGCTGTGAGCCCTAAAGAGCAGAATTAGCTCCTTCTTTCTCCCTGCTTGTGCTCTACCCCCACCTTCCCCCAGGACCTGCCTCAGGGCCTCGGGCTGGCAGGACCCGCCCCCGCTCCAGATCACAGTTGATAATAAACTGCTGTCATTGGCTCGCCTGCCTTACTCCGCTCTCTCAGCTGGGGAGGGGTCTCTGGGCCCTTTGCCTCCCCTGAGGGGTGGCCCTGAGTGCCCCAAAAGGATGCGGTAAGCCAGAACCCAGGCCCCGCCTGCTGGGGGCCCTGCGGGCAGCCCTGGGGCTTCTTAGATGGAAACTGACTCCCTACACCCCCAGCCCCATTCCCTGCCTTTCTCTGGCCTGGACTGCGCCCCCTGGAGAGAGCAGCAGCGAGGGACGCTAACCAAGGAGTGTGGTCCGGGGCTGGTCCTCTCTCCCGGCCAAGCCCTGACCCCACAAGCTGGCCACGGGCACCGTGTCCTCCTCTCCCCCAGCCCCCACAGTGTGTCTGTGTCTCCCAGAGGTGGAGCAGCAGCTTGGGGCTTTCAGGTCCCTCAGGAAGGGTCGCCGGGAAGGAGCGCACAAGGCGGCGGCCAGGTGGAATGGCTAATTTACTGCAAAGCAGCCCTTCCCCCACCTGCCCCGAGCTGAGGACGGCTCCTGCCCCATGCCTGTGCACAGCCGCACACAGGCGTAGAAAGATGTGTTGACACACTTAGAAACGCGTATACATTCACATGACAGCAACCACACGCGGCCACACTCCCCTGTGGAGGCCCCTCCCCTGCACGCACACTCCCAGCTGCTCACGGACTAGACATGGGAATCCAGAGAGGTAGGGACCTCCCCTCCCCGCCGCCCTGGGCGTCCCTGAGGCCGCTGCTGGGCAGGTGGCTGGCTGATGAGAGTACCCGGTGGGCTGGGCACCCTCCTGCCCGCCTGCCTGGAGGCCCCAGTGCAGCTTCCCCGGCCCTGGGTTTGGCTCGGCCGGCTGGCAGTGGCTCTGGGGGGCAGGTCTGGTTCCCCACGGGCGGCCTGGAGACCTTGCTGCGGCCACATCCCTCAGGATCAGAATAAGCTCCCGCTGGTTCGGGCGTGGGGCAGGGGGGCTTGTGTGGCCTAAGTCTTCAGCAAAGAGCCCGGCCAGAGCTCCTGGAAGTATTGCGGGGCACGAGGCCAGCAGGGCCCCCCAGAGGGTTGATGTCATTCCTGCGGTCAGTGGGTAACTGGTCAGCTCCTGGGATCGTGGGGGGTGCCCCTGTGGCTGCCCCCAGCTAGGACCCCCGAGCTGTGTGGAGTCAGCGGCAGCCCCGGAGCAGCATGAGAGCCATGGCGTCGAGCAGCAGCTCCGGCAGCTCCAGCAGCTCCAGCAGCTCCAGCAGCTCCAGCACAGAGAGGACCGAGGAGCCGAGCCACAGGCTCCAGAGGCTGCCCACGGCCGACAGCAGCTGGGGCACCTGCGGGCATCAGGGGGCGGTGAGCAGGTGCCCGCGGCTGGGCCCTGGGGGATCTGGCCCACCACCGCTCCAGCCCCTCCAAGGCCGTGGGCCCCTGGCTGGCTCACTGAGTAAGCTGGTGTCTCATCCACCGTACGGTAGTTGAGCTCCTCGTAGAAGATGTTCACCTTGGCCACGCTGCTCCTGCGGCAAGGCAGAGGTGTGAGGGGCTGGGCCCGGGTGCCCGCCTGGCAGGGGTACTGAGGACAAGGTTGGCAGAGGGAGGGGCCGGGACGTGTCCTCTGGAGGGGGAGCGCGCCCACCTGAGGCTAGGGGTCTGGCCCAGGCTCCTGTGGCCTTGCTTGCCCAGCACAGCCGGGATCCAGTCCTGTACCCAGAAGGCTCACTGGGGCCACTGTTCCTCACAGCCCTCAGGGCGCTGTGGGGCAGGTGTTCAGAGCGGGGACCACAGGGGCACCAGCTGGTCTAGGGTGAGCCCTCTGGGACCTGGGAGACCTAGGGTGAGCCCTCTGGGACCTGGGAGACCTAGGGTGAGCCCTCTGGGACCTGGGAGACCCACCTGCTTGTCCGCCCCTTACCCACCCCTTTAGGGCACTCACAGCTGACTTGGAGGAGGGCCACCTGGAGGTCCCGGCAAAGAGCTTGTAGGAAGACTCCCTGGGAGAGACAGACCCCCCCGTTACACTCCTGCTGGGGTGCTGTGGCAGTAGCCCCTGACCCTGAGCCCCCACACCAGCCACCCACCTGCAGGGCCTGGGGCAGCGTGAGCTACAGGGAAGCCGGTGGGTCCCCAGGTCCCTGGAGAGCCGGTAGAAGCAGTGACCTGTGGCGGTGCGGGGGGCGGAGAGTTGAACCCACTAGGATCGACCCCCCGGGGTGGTGGAGAGGTTTGCAGGTGGGCAAGGCCTGACCGCACTCCCCACCAGTGGCCGGGTGGGGGGTTCTCACCCCAGGCCGGTGCCTCGCGGAGCTGCAGTACTGGGCTGGGCCCCGACGGCAGGGGTAGAAGAAGCCGCAGGAGCAGGTCTCCACCCTCAGCTGCTAAAAGCAGGACTCCAGGCAGGCCGGGGGGCAGCAGGGGACGCGAGCTGAAGGTCCTGGGGGTGGTCGTCCCTCCCCCAGGGCCCACAAAGGGCCTGCTTCACCTCCCTCCCTGCACCTGCCCTCCCTGCCCCCTCCTTCACTCCCCGCCCCCTTGGCCACCCCTTCCCCTGGGCGCCTCCCTTGCTGCCCCCCAACTCCCCATCTCTGCCCTCTACCTCCCCTGGGCCTTCCCTTAAGCCTCCCCTGGCCTCCCTCTCCCAGGGCCAACCCAGTCTCCAGGTCTCCGTCCCCTGACCGCCTTCTCTCCCGGCCTCCCTGTCCCTCCTGAGAAGCTCCTGTTCTCCCCCCACCATGGCCCCAGACTCGCCTGCAGGGTGTATGAGGCGTTGTAGAGCAGGGGCACGTCCACACCCTCTGCCCCCTCGCTGCAGTGGCTGTAGGGGTTCCCCAGCCGGCGTACCTCGTCCTAGGGTAGGGGGCACGCTTCAGTGCAGCTGTCCTTGCCCTTGGTCCCCCAGGGTTGGAGAGGGAGGTGGGGAGTGGGAGGGTTGGGGCCCCTCCTCTGTCCCGGCTCCCGTGGGCCCACCCACCTCTCGGATGCCGATGGTGGTTTTGGTCCCTGGCCGGATGCTGAAGCCCTGGTGCTCCAGGAAGGGCATGTGGTCATGCCCATGAATCATAACCCTAGCACCAGCCTCCGTGGACAGCAGAGGGAGGTGGTGCCGCTGCTCAGCCCTGAGGACCAGGCTGATCCCTGGGAGAAGAAGGGAGTGAGGCCAGGCTGGCCTGGATGTCCCCTGCCCCACTCAGCTGTGGGCTGGCACTCACCGTGGGTGACGCCTGGGTGCTGTGCAGCTGAGACGCCATCGAAGGTGTAGCAGCTGCCATACGTGGGGTGGTGGAACCTCCGGAAGTGCCTGGAACCGGGAACCCCACTTATACCAACACACCCTTCGGCTCAGGACCCCATTGCGTGGAGCCCGAGGGACTATGGCCTGTCCTACCTCTGTGGGCAGCTGTTTGCCGCCAGCCGGACCCCAGGGGTGGTACCCATGCCTGCACTCAGCTGCCCCGTCCCCCACTCACCGGGCCTGGCAGTCCTGGCCATCGAATCGGCAGGAGAGGACAAAGTGGCCTCTGTCGCTGCAGTGGCCGTCCTCGTGGGCGGTGGGCATCAGGGCCAAGACATTCACATAATGGAAGCAGTACCACTCATGGGTGGCTGTCACAGCCGACGTGTAGGCACGGTACAAGCAGTCCCCACCTGTGCTGTTGCACTGCGGGCGGTGGGGGGCCGGTCAGCACGGCCCTCTCACCTGCCTACCCCCCACTCAGAGATCTGCAGAGTGACAGTGTGCTGGGACCGTGCAGGGCTAGGGACACTCACCAGTCAGAAACCCACTTTATTCTGGCCACCGGGTTGGCTCAGCCTCTGCAGGCGGACCCCGCGGTCCAGGTAGAAGGCGGGCTGTGGGAACTGGTCAGCTGCAGAGAGGACGTCCCTGTTCTTGCTGAAGTTGAACTTGTAGAGAGACTGGATGTTCTCCTGGGCGAACTCATCGAGTACCTGCAGGTGGTGGCGGGCTGAGCGTGGCCTGGGCAGTGGGGGGAGGGTGCGAGTTGAGTCAGAGCCCCCACATCAATCCCAAGGTATTGCTGGGGAGAGTAGAATAGGGTCTGCCCCCATGGTGCTGATCCCAGAGACCAGCCTGGATACCCTAGAAGCACCCCCACCCGGTGCAGACTCTGCCAGCCCCCTGGCTGGGCCCCAGCTTCTATCTGCTCCTCTACTTCCTCACCTGAAATGTCGCCCTGCTCCCCACCCCCAAGCCCAGCTCCAGGCTGTCCTGCTGGAAGGCTCCCTCCCACCTCCCCTCACCCTTCCCGGACTGCCCAGGCCCTGTGTCTGGGTGGCTCTGATCACTCCAAGGTCCAGCTGGCTCTTCTTTGTCCCTGAACACACCGCCCTCCCCACCCCCACCCCGCTGCTGCTGTCTGGAGCAAGGTCTCAGGGTTCCCGACTGAGCAACTGGGCACAAGGGTGGAGTGAGGTGGGGCCCTCAGTGGCCTGGGCCTGTGACCCGGTTGGCCTTCCGCTGTGACCACAGCCGGGGAGATGCCGCAGGCCGCAGAGGTGGGAGTGGGCCCCCCTCACCTGTGTGGGTTCATGTCGCACAAAGTGACCGCTGGGAAGAGCTTGGGCTCCGAGTGCACCGACACTGTGGCAACCACCGGGTAGCGCCAGTATTCGGCAAAGAGGAGCCCGAACTGCCAGTAGAGCACGCCCAGGGCGCCTGCCACCAGCAGCCCCCACGAGGCCGTCCTGACGCGGCTCTGGCTGGAGCAGACCAGGCGGATGGTGCCATGGATGGTGGCGTTGGTGCAAAAGAAGGTGAGCAGCTCCCGGAAGGAGGTGTGCAGCTCCACCAGCCCCTCCCTCCGCCTGTCCTCCTGCAGGGCTGGCGGCGGCCGCTGGGCCTCGTGGACTGTCGGGGAACCACCGGCGGTGGCTGTGCGGGCCATGGCTCCTCCCTGGGTCCGAGAAGAGGCCTTAGTGTGGCCCCAGTCTGTTGCCCGGTCCAACTCCAACTCGGGCCTCCTCACCTTGGGCTGGTAGGACTTCCATCTTCTGTCCCTTGGTCACCAATGGCACCACCCAGCCCCCTGGTGCTCCGAAGAGGCCCTATCGGGGGGGCCTGGGACTGTCCCTGCAGCCCCCACCCCAACCCCCACCCCGGGGCAGGGCACCGGGCAGCCTCCGCAGACCTGTCTTACTGCAGCCAGAGTGGGGTCTGCTGGTGGGGACAGGGACAGCAGAGGACATGGGTCCAAGCCCTCACTGGTCCTGTTTGCATGCAGTCTTGAGGCTGGGGGGGGTCTACTGTCCACTCACATGCGGCAGGGGCCTCTAGAGAGGGGCAGGCCAGGTGACCTGCTGGGGTGGGGACTGTATTGTGTCCTTGGGCCTTGAGCCAATGTTGAAGGTCTGGGGCCCCTACAAAGACAAGACTCTGTGCCTCAGTGGCCTCTACCCACCCTTAGTGGCCAGCATGGCCATGCTTGATTGGGACTAATGGAACCAAGCTGCTCTGGCCACGTCTGGGCCAAAGGCTGGGCCTGAGGACCGTTCAGTGCTCTGGACCCCAGCAAGGGAGCATCTGCTGAGCTTGTGCCCAAGGAAACCCAATTTGTGGAACGTGGGCTTCAGGAAGAGTGGGCAGGGGCCAGTGGGCTAGCCAGTGGTGGGGACCTGAGGGCCCTGGAGAAGTAGGGCCACAGACCCAGGACCCCCAGACCCCCCCAGACATCCAGCACACAGGGACATGGGACCCTGACGAGGCCAGGCCTACTCTTCCCAAAAACCTGTGGAGTCACCGGGCAGGCCTCTGGGGGACTTCCCACACTTTCCGCCTCTTGGTCTGAATCACTAGGCCTCCCTGCACCCAGGGCAGAGCCTCCTGAGCTCTGGCCCCCACCTGAGTCACCTGGGCAGGGGATTGAGCAGGGAAGCCCCTGCTGCGTCTCGGCCAGCAGGTGCCCCGCCTGCTGGGCCTGAGTGGGCTGCTCCCCCGCGCTCTGGGAAACTGCATGTCGGAGCAGGCCAGCCCGTGGCGTGGGGCCACAGGCACACGGGGAGGGTGGGTGGCCTTCCTTCCCCGCCTCAGGTCTGTGGGCCTCCCCCACGTCCAGCCAGGAGTGGGCGCCAGCATGGGGTCCTCACGCTGGCTCTCACGTTGCACAGAGCTCTGCCCATGTGTGTTTGTCCCCGAGGATCACACTGGGTCTTCAGGGTGGGCCAGGATCCTCAGCTGCGTGTTGTAGGTTAGGCAGAAGGGGCTCCAGAAGGTTCTTTCTGACTCCAGCAGCCATGTTTACCCTCCTCTAGACGTGTAGCCCAAAGCAGCCCCCTCCTGGCTCAGCTGGGGCTGGCAGGGTAGGAAGAGGGGACACCCTGGAGATGGGGACCTCGAGGACCCCTGAGAGCCTCCAGGGCTTCCTGAGACGGGGCAGGGTCCAGACACCTGGGATGGCCCCAGATGCACTGAGGGATCGGAAGTGCCCCAAGTCTGATGTGGCAGCAGCAGGGGTGCACACATACGTGCACACGTGTGTACATAGACACATACACCCGTCACATGTACCAAGCCCTCGGTTGGTGGGGACCGCATGACCCTCTTCTCTTGCCCTCGGTGCCTGCATGTGCTCAGGGTGACATGTGAGACACAGCCCCCTCCACTTCAGGTTCCAGAGACCCCGAGGGATGACCTTCCTTCCTTGCCCCCAACCATGGGAAAGGAAGCCCACGTCAGGCACCCTGCTGGTACCTGGAAGCCGGAGTCTCCTTCTGCAGGTGCCTCCATTCTCCGTGGCGGGTGGCCCCAGTGACGGCAGCTCTAGGAGGTGACAAGACAGAGTGGGATGTGGCCCGACACTGGCCTGGCAGCCTCCTTTTTATAACAGGCTGGCTAGGCGTGGGATGAGGCTGGGAGGGGCCCATCTGCCAGGGCCAGACACACCCACTCTGGACCTGGAAGGGGAAGCCATGAGGGCAGGGATGGGGGTCCTTCCCCCGGTGAGCTTTTCTTGCGCAGAGCCCTGGATGTGAGGCCTGGGGATGAGGGGCTCCTGGTTTCTAGAGGGAGAGGAGAGGTCTGTGTTGGCTGAGACCCACTTGCACGGCTCCCCTGCCTCTCGCGGAGCAGACCCTCCCCTCCCCCAGCTCCCAAAGCTCAGATCTCTCAGGGGTCAGACACCTGCTCTTCTGCTCGCAGCAACCAACCCCTCCCCCTCTGCCGCCCCTCGCTTCTCTGTTTCCTGACAGGCCAGCAAGGGATGCCTGCCCTCCACTGCCTCCCCGGCTCACGTTGCCAGCACCGACCACAGGTGTCTGTGACCGAGGGATGCCAGGCAGGGGCCTGCGCTCCCAGAACCCCCGTGTCTAGGGCCGGTCGCCCAGCCACTGGGGCAGGCTCGAACTGTGGGAACAACCCAGTCCCTGGGTGTGGAGGTGACACCTGGTGCCCTGCAGCATACGGTTCCCCTGCCCAGCAGACGCGAAAGCCGCCACTGACCACACCACACACTAAGACAACATACCACCCACAAAGATGACACACCACACGTTTTGGCTGCAGAGACACTAAGACCGCACACCACACGCTAAGAACGCACAGCACACTCGGGCCAGATCACACTGTCATGGGGGTTGAAGTCCTGGGCCTCAGTGTGACTGGGTAAGGCTGGATGCTGTGCTGAGGGCAGGATGCCCAGTGCCCCCCAGTCCAGGGTGCCCCGCCACCTCTGGCCCCAGTGGGGGGTCCAGCATGTCCCCCAGGATGACCCAGAAACCTCACATCCCAATAACCAGACCCTCAGCCTGGTCCCAGGTTTGAGGGTGTGGCTCAGGCCCTTCTGCCTGCCCCCGCTCCCCCACAGAGGCAAGCTCTAGGTTCTTGACACCCCACTCCAAATCAGTGTGGAGGGCCTGGACTGGGATGAGGGAGGGGGCCTCGCTTCCGACAGGCCCTGCTGGTGAGGCCTTGGCTCTGAGGAGGGGTGAGGCCATCAGCCCTGTGGCTTTGGAAGGAGGTCGATGGCCCCTGCTGACGTCTGGGAGAAGGATGTCATGCCTGCCTGGGGAAGAGCGGGGTGGGGGGGTGAATCACGGCTCTGACACTTACCATGTGAACTTGCCCACATTAATCAACCTCTCGGAGCCCGTATCCTCAAGTGCAACATGGGCCTTAGTTTCCTCTTCCTGCTCAAGGCTCAGGGGTAGGACCAGCCAACACCACTGGTGGGGATACCCCTCCCCAAGCCCCCATCAGGCTCTACAGACTCAGCACAGGCCCGGGGTGTCACAGGCCCTCTTCTACAGAGCAGTTTTCCTTTGTGGACTAGGCGATGTTACTGAGGGGATGGGGGGCACACTGTCCTCGGGGAGGCCTCTAGGCAGAGAGGAGGGTCCGAGGGGCTCTGGGTAATCAGAGCAGGAGTGACCTGTGGCTCAGGAGGCTGAAGAAGGGTGCTTCCAGGAAGGAGGGTCTGGAGACCCCGGTCTTGGGGGGCTCAAGTCTAGCCAGAGTCTCTGCCAGCCAAGGGCATCTTACAGGGAACAGGAGCCCCTACTTTCCTGTGGGAGAGGGAGCCCTGGCCAGGGACAGAGGAAAGCCTGTGATGATGACCTGTACCAGAGGGGTTCAAGGCAGAAGGCACAAACCCTCCTTCCCTTGTCCTGGGGAAACAGCTTGAGAACGGCCCACGCATAAGGTGCCCGGGGCAAGGATCTGTGACCAGTGTGGGAGGAGGAGGTCACCCCAGAGCCCACCTCTGGGAGGGCAGAGATCACTCTGGCTGTCTCACCAGGCCAAGAGACTGTATCCTCCCCTCCTGGTGCTTCCTTCCTCCTGCCTCCCCAGGCCTCCCCGGCCCCAGAAGGAGCAGGAGTGCAGGCTGGGACAGGACTGGGTGACCCCAGCTCCTGCCACAGGGGAGGCCCATGTGGTCACCCTCCAGAACTGTACTGAAGGAATGTGAGGACACCTCAGAGAAGGGACAGGCAGGTGGTCCCAGATCCTTCACCCCTCTCCCCAGAAGGACGGTAGGACGGCTGTCCCCCACATCCTGAGTATCACCCCCTTTGGACTTTGAGGGATAGGCTTCGCTGAGGCTGGGCCTAGGGGTGCCCAGCATCCCCTTCCAGGCCGGGGCTGCCCCAGAGACTGTCGGTGCCTGCTGTCTCCTGAGGCTCCCCAGGCTCAGCTTACTCACCTGCGGGTACCCCCCTCCCTCGGGGGCAGCTTAGAGATGGTCCTGGGGCTTCTGGTGTGACCGAGGTGAAGTCTGAGCCCATGGGTTCTGCATGTGTGGCGGATTCCTGGTGGATGTGGGCTGGTGGGGGTCTGTGGGCTGGCCCACCCGCTTCCGGGAGGGGGAGAGGCCTCTTGGTGCAAATGGGGAACCTCCCCACCCCTTCAAACACTGACCACAGGGTTAAGCAGTGGCTCCAGCGAGCCCAGAGGGGCTCCCTGAGGTGCCTCCAGCCAGGTGGGAGGGGTGGGGCTCAGGGTCTGGCCAGGTGTCTCCTCCTGGAAGGGGCGGGGTGTGTGAACACTTCCTGCCTGGTCACCTCCAGGCTGGCTCTTCGGGACCCCCTCTTGAGCCCTGGCCTGGGGAGGGAGTAGCAGCCCACAGGTAGGGGATGTTTTCTTCACTCTAACCCTCTTGGTTTCCTGGTAGCTCTTCCCACACAGAGCCATGGGCCCCCCCACCCAAGATGCTCAGGAGTGAGCACAGCCATCCTCTTCCTGTAGCGGGGCCATTGGCGCAAGAGGCAGGGGCTGGAAGACTGGCAGAAAGGGCTGCTCCTTGTGCCCCAAAAGGTGACTTCGGAGTTTGAGACGGTCTCAGTTGTCATTTGCTGCCAGCCGAGCTGCCCACGCCCGTCTCAACTGCGGGGGCCATCAGCTCTATGGCCAGAGGGCTGGGCAGCTTGGGCCTTGGGAACCTGGAAGACAGCATATGTGGTTGGAGTGAGGTCTTGGCAGGACCTGCTGGCCACATCTGTCTTCGGGACCTTCTCCCTTAGGTGTGACTCAGGGTGCTTGGTGATCAGGACGGTGGGGGCTGATGCTGAGGGGTTCCGAGCTGAGTTTTCCCAACAAAGTGCTCCCACATAAGTCAGCACCCCCATTTTACACAGACAAACTGAGGCAAGAGAGGGCCTCTACCTGCCTGGGGCCCCAACCGCACTCTCACAGCCTGTGCTCTGCAGGTGTGTGTGGGTGTGTGCCAGACACACCTGTGCTCGAACCCCAGCTGCCCCGGAGAGGCCTCCCTTACATAACTTCCGATGTGCTAAAGACAGCCAGTCCGCCCCTTGTGGGGATGGCGGACCCTGGAGGAGGCAGAGGAGTGAAGTCAGCAAGCTGAGTGTGTCAGCAGGAGGCTGAGCTCTGGAACCTGCCAGCCTCCCCGAAGGCAGGCAGGCCGGGGACGGGCGATACGGTTGGAGGCAGAAGCCGGATTCCCACGGGCTGAGTTGTCTGGCCGCGGACGGATGGAGGGACCAGGAGCACTCCTTCGGGGCTCCACCCAAGGCCTGGGGCCAGATCTGCCACAGCTGCTCAGACCCTGCCTGAGATTTCCTGGGTGGGCCAGACTCGAGGGTCAGCATGGTGCCTGTCCTCCGCCAGTTGCCACAGCTGGACCTGTTGGTGCCCAGTGTCCACTGTCATGGGCATGTGGTCAGTTACCACGTTGACTCGTGGCCCAAGCCATGAGGCAGTCAGGGGCACGGTGCAGGGCTGGAGCCCCAGCTCTGTCCCACAGAGCCATACAGTCCAACACAGCAATGACCTCTCCAGATCTGTCCGGGCTGATGACCACCACCTGCCTCCTAGTTGATATGCAGCATTTCCCCTGACACAACCTATGGGGGGACACCTGAGGCCCCCACTTGGGCCTGTCTTGGGTTTTCTCTCTAGGGAGGGCGGTAAGGCAGCTTACGCCGGCTTGCTCAGCCACCCCGCCCACCCCACATTCAGACCTCCTGTGTGTCATCCTCATGTCCCCCAGAACTTCCCTCATGGCAGACTTGAGGAGGTGGAGAGGCCCAGCTCCAGGCCTCTGCAGTCGGGGTCCTTTCCACTGACACTGGCCCTTGGAACAGCGTCCCCACCTGCCCCTTTCAGGCATACTCCCATGTCGGGGTGGCCAGCTTCTCCCCACCTCCCCCCCGGCCAGGGAGGGGACCGTGGGAGCAGAAGGCAAGCCTCAGTGCAGTGTCCACTGTTGCATAATGACCCTATTCATGGGCTGGGTGGAAAATTCAGTTGGGGAAACAGTGGAAGTATTTTTATGAGGCCGGCTCTCGCCATGGGCAGGGGTTGGACAGGCTTGCCCACGGCAGACCCCACCTGACACAAGTTCTCGCGGGGCTCCCCATCCCCGCGCCCCACTGGTGGCCAGGCAAGGAAGGCCAATCAGGACCTGACCCTCAGGTGCCAGAGCGGGTTCAGTCACTGATGGGGCCGGGGGACCCTAGTGCCTCCGGCGCTCTCCTGTTTACACGACGGCACGAGGACCGCGCCCCCCCCCCCAGGCCGGACTGGCCCCGTCCTTTGGAAGGTAGCCGACGGGAGAGGCGGGGTCCCAGTGAACTCAAAGCGGAGAGCACGCCGGCACCTCGGGGGTCACCCTTTGCCTGGGCTTGTCTGTCTTCCCCAGAACCGCGCACCCCGCTCTGGGGCGGCCCCGTCGGCCGGGCTTCTCGGGGAAGAAGAAACTGTGCAGGGTGAGGGGGTCCAGGATCCCTGCGGCCGCTGACAACCCCTGGGGCCGCCCGCCGGACAGCATTATGGCGGAAGGACGCTTCACACAGCCCCGACCGCCTGACTAGACCACCAAAGAGGCCGCGCGTCCGAGCCCCACCGCGCCCGCCGCGGCACTGCCTGCCCGTGCGCACGCGCCGACCCTCCGCCCTCGGGCTCTGCCCCACGAGGCCGCTCGCCAGTGCGCACGCGCGGACGTTCTCGGCCGCGCGGGGCGGGAGGTGGCAGCGAGACGCAGGCGACGTCCGCCCGGCCGGCTAGAGCGGCCGCCCCAGAGCGCGGCGCACCGGAATCGGAAGCGGGGATGAGCCTCCCCCGCCCCGCGAACGGCCATCTTGCAGGCTGAGGCGGCGGCGGCGCTGCGGCGGTTCGGTGGCTTCCGTCCCGGCGCGGTGAGGCTCTCCGGCGCGGGCCACGCTCTTCCTTCCCTGCTCCGGCCTCGACCACGGCGAGCCTGAGCGCGGCGGCGGCCCACGCGCGGCGACGGGGAGAGGTGAGAGCGCGGCGCGGGCCCGAGCCGGGGCTTCGGCCGCGCGTCCGCCCCGCCGGCGCCGGCCCGCGCGGAGGGCACGGGGCCGTCGCAAGGCTTGTCCCCGCCCGGTCTGCCGCTCGAGGGGCCCCGGCCGGGAGCCTCCGTGCGCGGAACCGGAGGTCGGTTACGGCGGGGCGCCCGGGGCTCCGGGCCGGCTGCTCCTCCGGCCAGCTTGGGGGTGTGGGTGGCCCCGCGGCTGGGCCGCTGCGGAAAGGCCTCCTGTTCGTGGCGCTCGCGGGCACCTCCAGGACTGGCCGGCACGGGTCTTGGTGTGTAAATGTCCCCGGACATCGGAGTTGGGGTGGCTGCCCTCGAGCCCGCCGCCGCTTCCCCTGCACGGCCCCCAGGCGGTTTCGTGAGCCCCGGCAGGAACGAGTGTGCTGGGGTCGTGGCTGTCGGGGCAGTGGCCGAGGAGGGAGCAGGAGGCGCTGAGAGCTGGGCGGCTGCGCCTGGGCCCCGGGCCGGTTCTTCACGTGTGCCCGCCCACTCGGCGCGCCTGCCGGTTACCTGCGGCCGCCCCGGGGTCGGCCGCTTTCAGCCGACAGCACCTGGCCGGCCTGTGTTTGACTCAGACCCGCTGCCCGGCCTCTCTCCGGGCCCAGGCGTGGAGCAGCGAGAGCGTGAGGCCCAGCCTCGTGGGCGTAGCGCTGGCAGGTGCGTAAGAGCCCGGCCCCGCGGCGGGAGGCCGGTGCTCCGTGCGCCCCAGGTGAGGCAGCGTCGGTGGAAAAGGGCGGAATCGGAGAACCGGCTGTGCCCAGCAGGCACGCGCATCTCAGGGCCTAGAACTTGCACTTCGGCCTCTGCCCCGTTCTGAAGGGTGACCTCGGGGGCAGCTCCCCGCCCAGTCAGGCGCAGGAGTGGTAACGGGGCTGCCTCCATCAGCCCCAGGCTTCCCTGCAGCCTGTGGAGCCCACCCGGTGGAGAGAGCAGAAACTTCCGGGAAAGCCCTGGGCTTGGGTGTGTCACGTGCCCAGCGGGTCATGCAGGCCAAGGTCTCTTGCCACGCGGTCACCTGGGTTCGGCTTCCACGGAGCGAAGAGATGAGCGGAGAAAAAAGGCACGGGCGGTGGATGCTGGGCGGGGGCTGCCAGGGCGCGTCCCCCGTGGCACTGGTTCAGGCTGCTGTTTTCCAGCCTCTGGGGGTGAACGTTTTTTATTCACGCCATTTTTTTTAAATGTCTTTCAGCATAATGCACTTTTACGTGCCCCGTCTGTGGGGTTTGCACGAACCTGAGACATGCTTCACGGGGTGTGTCCGTGCCGGAGGCTGCAGGGGCTGTGCGACCGCTGACTGAGGCACAGGAGGGGCCCGTCGGGAGCCCTTCCTTCCCGTGAGCCGAGTAGTTGAGTCGTAAAGGTGAAGACCCGCGCTTGGGAGCAAGAATGAGAGAGACGTTTGTGACTGACCAGGCTGGACCCGTCTGTTTTGCGTGGCTGCCCAGTGGCCTTCACCAAGCATCCGGCCTGGCCACGTGATTAAGTCCAAACAGTGGCGTTTGAGTAACCCAGAGAATTGTTTCACACGTGGCAGAGTGCCGACCTCACGTGCACGCTTGCAGGAGCCCGGACGAGTGCCGAGCGGCGGCTTGGGGCCGTCCGTTAGGAGGTGCTGGTGCCAAGTGAGCCCCCTGGCCTGCGTGGCTGGGCCGGGAGCTGGGGGGCCGTGCTGTGCGGGAAAGCGTCCCTTCCCAGGCTGTTCTGTCGCTCGTCCTGCTGTGGGTTCACCAGCATCTCTGCTGGGGCCTGGCGGGAACCGGTGTGCTGCCGAGCTGGGCTGCGGGAGGCTGGGTGGAGCCGCTTGGGGAGATCGGGGAGGCTTTTGAGGGACTTCGCTTTTGAACTAGGCCAGGGAGGGCCTGAGTGAACTTTGTGCCGGCGGCGAGGGCGAGGAAGGGATTCGGGACCGGGGAGCTAGGAGGGAGAGCTGCGGCTTCTTTGTCGAGGGCTTGGCAAGCAGGGGGGCGTTCAGGTTTACTTGCTTGGCTCTGGGGGAATCTGGAAGTGCTGTGGTCAGAGCTGTGGCTGGAGAAAACGCTGATCTGACTTCAGGATACAGGCCGGCTGAAACGGGTGACACTGGGAGGTGGAGGCCAGTTGGGAGGCTGTTGTGGGGGTTAATGGGAACGGTCATGAGAGCCTACATTAGGGCGGGTGCAGTGGGGACAGGAGGAGGAGGGGAACAGAGATCCTGAGGTTGTGCGGTGGGCAGCGGTGTGTGGAGGATTGCTCCGCCATCCTTGGGGTACAGAGCGAGCGCGCTGAGCCCTGGCTGTCGTGGAGGGGCTGAGTGCTCCGAGGGGAATTCGGCCTGCAAGGGGGCAGGAGTCTGTGGACCTCTGACCTGTCGGAGCTGTCGCTCGGGAAATGAGCACACAGAGACCCTGAGGCGAAGACGAGGAGGGCAGGCGCTGTCGTGGGAGGTGGGGTGGAGTGACTTCAGGCCTGCACAGGCCAGAGGTCAGGGTGACGATCCTAACCACTGATGTCCAGTGCTGTGGCAGGATGGCCCGAGATCGCTGACCGGCCGTGTCAGTGTCACGGGGCGAGCAGGGCAGGTGCGGCTCCGGTTTGCCACCACAGTCGCCTGGAAGCCGGAGCCGCTGCGCCTTTCCATTCCTGCGCGCCCCTGCGTGTCCTCTGTCTCTATCGCGTCTTAGACCAGCGGCCTTCTCGCTTTATTCTTAGCAGCAGAACTTTTTTGCTGTCTTATGGGGAGCTTCAGCGTTCATAGCAGTTCAGGTTGGAGCTGCTCGGATGTCTGTGAGGGTGGGGGGCTCTGTCTTCTCTCGCCGTCCCTCCCTTCTGTCTCTGAGCATAGCTGAAGTGTCCCAGGGCCCCCTAAGCCAGGTCGTGCCTCTTCTCTTGAACGATGGCTGTGACTTCGCTCCTGGTCCTCAGCCGTCAGTGCTGTCCTGCCCCTGCTGTCCCATCTCAGCTGCCCCATTTGACCTTCACTGAACAGTTCAAGTAACTTTTTTTTTTTTTTTTTTTTTTTTTTTAAGATTTTATTTGTTTGAGAAGAGTGCAAGAGCGGTGGCGGGGGCTTGCAGAGAGGGAGAAGCCGACTCCCTGCTGAGCAGGGAGCTTGGTGCAGGACTCCGTCCTAGCACCCTGGGATAGTGTGTGACCTGAGCTGAAGGCAGACGCTTAACCGACTGAGCCACCCAGGCGCCCCATGTCCAAGTGATCACACAGAAAATTTGATCTTCCTTCAGGCTTGGACCTAAAAACTTCGTGATGTGCTGCCCAGCCGCCTGGCCTTGCCTCCCTGCCCAGCCTTGTCAGTCTCATTTACTGCCCCTTGGCTCCTTACAGAGTGGCCCAGGGCTCTTCCCTGGACCCATGAGGCTGCCTGTGTCCCTGTAGCTCCTTCTCTCTGGAGGGCGCTCCTTCTCCCTCTTCCGGGCATGTGTGTCAGACTTTCAAGGGTCCCTATCTCTCTCCCGTCTCAGAGGTGCTTGCTCTGCTCCCCTGTTCCCCCCATGCACTTTTGACCAGTGGTAGATGTGTTGGAAAATGCCTGACAGCAGGCTCTCCGTGGGGGCTGGTTTGGGGTGCATCCTGATTCCCACAGTATAAACGTTGGGTGGCACAGAGTTGGCGAGAACTGCTCAGTCACTCGGGAGCCCTGGCCCAGGTGGCTTCAGCACACTCTACTGAGGACCCTTTAAATCCGATATTTTTCTTCCCATTTTGGTTCTTTGACGACAGGAGTGAGGCTTTGGGTTTCTCTTTTTTCCCCTTAATCTTTGCATCTGATGTTACATAAATGAAGGTTGTGGCAGGGCAGACGGAAAAGGAGACTCTGCCAGTCCTGCAGGCGTCTGAGTGGGTGGGCAAGTCAGGACAGCCCACAGGCCTGGCTTCTGGGCGGCCGGGATTAACGTGGCTTGCTGCTGGGCTGCGGAGACGGAAGCCGAGTGGGGGACTGCTGAGCCGTCTGGGTGAGGAAGGCAGTGGTGTGCCCTTTCCTTTGTGAGCAGAAGTGTTTGTTTTCCACAGATGAGCAGCAACAGCAATAAAAGAGCTCCAACAACAGCGACCCAGCGGCTGAAACAGGACTATCTTCGAATTAAGAAGGACCCGGTGCCTTATATCTGTGCTGAGCCCCTCCCTTCCAATATTCTTGAATGGTAAGGCTCTGGATGGCCACTCACCTCACACTGACTGTCACCTGGGTTCTCTGCTGGCTTGGCTGGGTGGCTTTCGTGCTCCCGTCGTGGCATCAGGAAAGGTGCACCTTTTTTAGATGTGAGTAGACAGAGGCCTGCGGATGTGTCCTGGTTGTCTTCGTAATAGGTGGCAGCTGGGCCCGCGATGGGGTCTTCCTTCACCCCCGCACACTGGGGCTGGAGAGAAAGTTCTGGAGAGCACCGTTTGGCGGGGGGTGGGGGTGGGGGCGGGGGTGCTGGTTTGTGGGATCCACAGCGGAGGCGTTGGAGTGTATCGGTCTCACAGTTGTTGGTGGAGAAGCTGCATTTCTAGACTCTTCTTCTCTGCTCTTTGCTTGTTGGTGATGTGAAGTAGCCTGTCCTGCCTTGGAGAGTTTGTGACAAAGGGTCAGGGGTCCTGATACCTCAGCACCTGGCACTGGCCTGGGAAGCCGTTGGGCTGATGAGACAGGCTCCGTACCTCATGGACACTTGTTTCGTAGTGACTCTTTGGCTGTGTTCAAGTGTGGCCTTGGGAACCTACCTGCTTCTACAGACGAGCTGCCCTTACCAGGTGCGTTGCTGATTTTGTGGGAAGTAAAGTGTAGGGCCCAAGCAGTAAGCATTTTCTGTTTGAAGGGTATTTCTTTTTTAAACTCTTACTTGTTTATTTGAGAGAGAGAGTGCACGCACGTGCCAGTGGGAAGAGAGGGGGAGGGAAGGAGTCCTGAGCAGGCTCCTCATTGAGCCCGGAGCCTGATGGTGGCACTAGGTCCCACAACCCTGAGATCATGACTTGAGCTGAGACCAAGAGTCCGATGGTCAGCTGAGCTGCGAGGCACCCCTGCTTGAAAGGTACTGAAAGTGTTTTGATCTCAGAAAGTGTCTCTGAGGGGCACTTGAATGGCTCAGTTGGTTAAGCCGGCTAGTCTCAGCTCAGGTCTGGATCTCAGGGTTAAAAGTTCGTTGCAGCGTGGAGCCCATTTAAAAAAAAAGAAAAGTATTTTTTAAGTTTCTTGAATCCAGAGGAAACAACTGAACAGAGTTAAAAAGAAATCCTTTTCCGACTGGGCGGGTAGTTTCAGGGTTCTGGATCCTCCTTCCTCAGCTTAGAAGGGCGCTGACAGGTGAGGGGAAGGCTCTCAGGGTGAGGGGGCTCGTGTGGGTGGGGCTTCAGGCTCACAGCAGAGCTCTCCCTGCCCCCAGGCCACAAAAAAAAAGCGGCGTGGCGCCGCTTACGGAGCCGGAGCCGTTGCAGGGAGGTCCTCTTTGTTTGGGGAGCCTCTGCCTGCCTGTGAGTTCAGGTCCCCGGGCTCAGTCACTCACAAGGAGGAGCTGCTGCTAAGGTTTCTTACAGAGAAAAAGTGAGCAAAGTCGGCACACAGACAAGGCACTGGAGGCAGAGTCTGTAGGAGGCCAAGGACAAGCTTGCCGTCCCCGTGGGCTCTCACGGACCTGCAGTGGCAACACATTTGAGGTTCTGTCCACCAGGGAAGCCTGTAGAGATCCAGGGCTTGGGATTTCCAGGGGGAGTAGGTCATGTAGGCACCTCTGCCTGGCACCTCCCAGTGTTCCAGACTCCCAGCCGGAAGGTGGGCTTCCTTTTGGCATGGATCCTATTTTTAGCACAGATAATTTAGTTGGGGTGGTGAGACCTTCTCCTCACTCCAGAATCCAGTTCCCAGAGCTGGCCGAGGATAGCCACGTCAGGCCCACTGGATGGGCTCTTATGCCCAGCCCTGGGCGTCCCCTGCTCTGCTGCTCCGGGTGCTGGTTCCCCACAATTGCTCGTTGCCCCTACCCTGTGTTCTTGAACTGGGCGCCAGGCTTGGGAGCAGTGACAGAGTAAGGCCGTGTTCTTGGGGGGCTCACGTGCTTAGCTGTCAGGGTTGTTCCTGGTCGGCCAACACCGATGACTGTTCCGGGAGTAGAATGTATCAGCGAGCAGATAGCAGGTGTTGTACGGTCCACGACCTTAACGTGGTGTTTGTGGGAAGAGGGGGTCTGTGAAGGGATGGTAATTGACGTGTTAACAGTCGTGTGTGGTCGTGCATTTCTGGTTGGTTCTACTTTCTCCTTTGTGCTTTTCTGTTTTGTTTGAAAACCCTTAAGTCCAAACACCTCTTGACATACAGCTGGAGCTCTGTGTTTGTGTGGGAGAGTGGAGTCTGTGGGTGCCGGTGCTTTTGGTCTGAGGCACGTGGGCCCAGCCTGGGCTTGGGCTCTGTGCGGGGACTTCAGTGACGGTTGTGGGCTGTGCCTGTTCCTCCAGCTACAGGACAGCTGCTCTGAGGTCATGTGTGTTCTCCCAGAGCAGGAACAGCAACACTGGGAGACACGCAGCCAACTCATGTCACCAGCTGTCCCCTGCTTGGCCTACTTCATAATATTTGGGCACACAGGTTTCCCCTGGAAATGTGTTTCCGTGCATTTCCCTGGAAATGCAAGTTTCTAGGTACACCTCAGGAATGAATGTGAAATCCACGTTGGAAACCTTTTCATTTGGCTGTAACTGTTAGAGAGGGTTTCTTTCTTGCATATTGTACACACAAAAATATTTTGTGGAAAACTCACAAGATATGGTTTTCAAGGTTCTGTTACAAAGTGACTAAAGTGTCTACAGTCCAAGTTCATCTGCTGATTGTTTGTGAGTATCAGGTTTCACGGGACCCTACAAAGCCCAGCCTTGGAGTGACTCCAGGTTTGGAGAAGTTGCCATCCCAGAGCCCACTGATTTTCTTCTCTCCCTCAGGCACTATGTGGTCCGAGGCCCAGAGATGACTCCGTATGAAGGTAAGTCTGATCTGATTGAGAGGAACAAGAGGCCGTTTCATCTTTTTTTTTTTTTTTTTTTTTACTTAGGATTTTATTTATTTATTTGACAGAGAGAGACAGTGAGAGAGAGAACACAAGCGGGGGAGTGGGAGAGGGAGAAACAGGCTTCCTGCTGAGCAGAGACCCCAATGTGGGGCTCGATCCCAGGACCCAGGGATCATGACCTGAGCTGAAGGCAGATGCTTAATGACTGAGCCCCCCAGACGCCCCACTGTTTACCATCTGAGTAGACGTCACCTGTCAAACACTTGGTATCTGTGAATCGCGCCCTATTTTGGATGTGCACGAGTGAGATTGGACTTTCTTGGAATCCATCCCAGTGTTTCTCCAGGTCCAAGAAGTGTTTGGTTTTTTGCCGTTGTGTTCAGTCTTCGGAAGCTGTAAGTGTCGGGGCTTACCCAGCCTCTCACATCAGTGGGATCAGAGCTGGAAGGCAGACCTGGTGAGCAGGACAGCATGGCCAGCTTCTCCTGGGGTTTGTTCAGACCAACGTGAATATTGTCCGAGGAGGGAAAGGTGTAATTATGGAGCTCTCACTCTGCTGAGCCCTCTGAGCCAAGTTTTGGGCCCCTTTGTGGATGGGACACTGAGGCTTAGGATCTGCTCTGGGCCAGCTGGGCACCTCTGCTCTCCCACTTGCTGCTGAGGCTGATCCGCTGATGCCACCCAGGGTCGTCTGGTGTCATTTACAAAGTAGACCTGGGATTAGTCAGCACGTCGGGGGCCGCAGGGAGCCTGGCACCAGCCTTGGTTTAGGCCAGGGGAGAGATGGGCCATGGCAGGGCAAGCCCAGGGCAGAGCTGGGTGGGCAGCACCTTCAGCTCTCTAGCCACTGGGTCCTTGCTTCGGGCGACATCTACATCCACAGGGGGCTTTGGCATAAGATTTCAGTAGAAAAGAGTCTGGCCACTGAGGAGAACATTCGGTGCGTGTGTCACCAGCCTTATGTAGACTCTCCTTCGGTGTGGGAGTTCCTGACACGGGCAGGTGTGTCCTGGGGAGGCACGTGCAGAAGCTCTCTGCAGGGGATGTTCATAGTGTCATGTTGGGGCCCAAGTGACCAGCAGTAGCGTGTGGCCTTGGTGTGCTCGCAGGGGGGCTTCTAGAAATGCAGCAAAAGATGGGCTTCAGGCCGTCTGGACAGATCATGTTAGAATGGTTGTTAAACATGTGTTCCTGAAGATTTATTGATTTATTTGACAGATCACAAGCAGGCAGAGAGGCAGGCGGGGGGGGGGGGGGGAAGCAGGCTCCCCGCTGAGCAGAGAGCCCGATGCGGGGCTCGATCCCAGGACCCTGAGATCATGACCTGAGCCGAAGGCAGAGGCTTTAACCCACTGAGCCACCCAGGCGCCCCTAAACGTGTGTTTCTAACACACACTAGGAGTAAATGTGTTTTCTCTCTGCCAAGGGGCATTGTCCCTGATTTTTAAGTTTATTTTTTTGTAGTTTTATTATTTTGCGAATAAATAGTAAGCGTTTATTAATTTTGTGTCCAGGCCTGTTGCTGCTGGAAGTGAGCCTGGATGGGGGTGGAAGCAGCGGGGGGGGAGAGGGCAGGCCCCCCCAAGTGAAGGCATGCACAGCTGGGACTCCAGGAGATTCGCTGATCCCCAGGCCTGGCTAGCATGGGGTCTCCTGTCTCTGTGCAGGAAGAGGCGCCCTCTCTGCAGATCCAGCACTGTCACCCGTGCTTCCTTGTGGCTAGTCCTCCCCTGTGTGTTTACCTGCTGGTTCTGGCCCTCAGGCTGCCAGCAAGATGCCCTTCAGATACAGAGCTTTTCCTGCTGCTTCTCCTCCCCTTTCCTTCTTCCTCCTCCTTCCCCTCCTCTGCCTCCTCTCCCTTCACTGCCCTCCTCAGCGTCTGTCCCCGTCCCTGCCGCCCATCCCCTCAGCTCAGGGCTACACTCTGCAGCCTAAGGCCTTCCTTGTGCTCGCCGCTCTCTTGGTTAATAAGGGACCCCTGTGAACTGCCAGTCCAGGGGACAGATCTCAGGCCTCAGTGCCTGGGGTTCTGTGGACTCCAGTGGTGTTGACTCTGGCTTCCTCCTCACTTGCTTCTCCTCTGACTTCTGGATGTCCTGACCCTTCCTTCCCAGCCTCTCGTGGCTCCTCTCCCTGTCCATGTCTGCTCGGCTCGGCACTGGCTGGCCTCTGGGCTCCGCGACTGTGCTTGCCCTGGCGAACCCCAGGCCCACCGACTCTCGCAGCTCAGAAGCTGCCTCCCGCTAGTGCGGGTGCCGCGGAGGGTTCTCCCTGAAGCCATCTGTAGATCTTACACAATCCCCGTCAGAGTTGTAACGAAAGTGTTTTGTTCGATCTGCGAGTTTTGTTCTAAAATGTATACAGAAGGGCAGAGGGTCGGAGTAGCTAGGGCAGGGGCGAGCAGGAGTCGTCGCTCTGCTTCAGCTTCAGACTCCGCAGCCTCAGTGAGCAGACTGGAGGGAAACGTGGGGGTGCGGGTCCGCGGGACAGAGCAGAGAACCCGGGAACGGGCCGGCATCTTTGTGGCCAGTGAGTTTTTTCTTTTTTTTCCACTTAGTTGCCAAAGCAGTTCGGTGGAGGAAGGGCGGCGGCGTGCTGGGCGCTCTCCCCGGCTGCCTCCCAGGGCCACAGTGCTCTCGGTAGTTTCTGTCCCCAGCGCTCGGCCGAGGCTGTGCTCCTCACGCCGTTCCCTGTGGACACTGGGAGTGAAGGATGTGGGAGCTGCTGGCCTGGCACTGCTTCCCTGCACTTCCTGAGGGCTTGACCTCTGGGCGAGGCTCTGTCCTGCGGGCCCTGCTTTGCCTCTTCCCTCTCACACTGAGCCCTCCGGGCCCCCTCAGCACAGACCCTCCCAGAGTTCATCTCCTTTGCGCGGAGCACACCTGCACGCCTAGATGCGGAGGCCTGAGGGCTCCGGTGGCCCCTCACGCGCCGCCCGCCGTTGTATTGCGACTTGCCGTTTGCTTCTCCAGTTTGCTCCCTGTGTGGTTGCCTCTCTGCCCGGCTCCTGCCCGGAGCTCTCCCCTCGGTGGAAGGTCTTCACCTGGCTTTCCTCCAGTACCCGACGGAGGTACCGGTGCTGGGCTGGCGCAGGAATTGCGAATGCCATTTCCCCAGCAGCCGTGCGCTCGTGCTGTGAGGCAGTGCCTGTCTTCCCAGTGCCTTCCGCTGAGCTGCCCGTGGCCGCTGTTTCCTGGGAGCTGAGCCTCAGACGTGCCCGACTCTTCTGCTTCCTCTTAGGAAAAGCCCCTGTGTGTATCACTTGGCTGTTGTCCAGTTTGGCTTTTCTTAGTAATTTTGAGTGAGTGTGCTCTGAGTGTCTTTATGGTGGTAGGTTCTCAGTGGTGGACTTGTCTGCGTGCTGGATTGGCCTTACAAGGGACACTTGCTGATGCCATCCTTCCACCACTGGCAGAGGCTGGAGCGGAAGACAGCACTCACGCGAGGGGGCCAGGGCCCTGGTGGGGAGGGCCTACCCAAGAGTGGCCTTGGAGCAGAGATGTGTGGCTCTTTAGGACTAGTATGCTCCAGTCCCTGAGGTGGGACCACACCCGGGGTGCTGAGGGCAGTGGGGATCCCAGGTGGAGGTCAGGCAGCTTGTGAAGCCTCAGTGTGCGCACGTCGCCAGGTGTGCTGTCAGCGTGCGTCACTTAGCCTGCTGCGCTGGGCCCAGGGCTCTGCATTTCCGGCAGGCTCCCAGGTGTGGCCCTGAGAGGAGGGTGTGAGGCCTCCAGTAGGCATGGGGCAGTGGGCCTGGGAGCTGAGGGCAGGGTGAAGGCCATGAGGCTAGCAGCCCCCCAGTGTTGGTCTGGATCAGTTTGAAGGTGCGGCCGACAGGATTTGCTGTTGGAGTTGGTGTGGAATGGTGGCTGGGCTGGGGGACGGGGCACGGGTGTGGCTGTGGGTCCTCCCAGAGTTTAATCTGTTGGAAGAGGTTGGAACTGCTCTTTGGGGAAAATAGCCAGAAAATAGCCAGAATTCTCTCTCAGACTCCTCTGAACAGTGTTGCCTGGATGTTCAGGTCATGGGTCCGGAGTGAGGGGAGGAGCCCCAGAGGCCCGTGTGGAGGTGCTGGTGGGAGACTGATGATCGCATCCTCGTGTCACATGAGACTGTGAGGCCCCAGAGGTGTGAGTGGTCAGGGAGGGCACCAAAGGAGCCAGTGGGTAGTGCTTAGGGGGTGGAGTGAGAATGGGGAGCCAGGCCAGGGCGGGACTTGAGGCAGGATCAGGAGTGGTGGTGAGGTGGGAGGGGAGGTCTGGGGTCTCGAGGTTTGGGGGATCATGGTGGGAGCAGGGCCCTCGTCAGGGTGGACTTGGGCGTAGCTGTCTGGGGGTTTTCCAGAAAGGAGAGTGAGCGATTGGCAGGAGTTGGAGGGGGGTGGCGGCCAGAGTTTTGTGTTTTTACGGTGGGAGAAATGATGGCAGTTCTGTTTATTGCTGGGTATAGTTCAGTGGAGAAGGAGAAATGAGTAGTGTAGGAGGGAGGGGATCTGAACAGGGGTGACCTTGGCTGTCATGCTGGGAAGGGCGGCAGGAGGGGGCCAGTGAGGAGCCCAGTACAACTTCTCTTCTGGTGCCCTGCTCTAGGTGAGAGGTGGGCATGGGAAGGTTGAGCAGGGTTTGTGTGGTGGTCGTATGGGGCAAAGCTGCTCCTAAGTTTTGGTCATGAGGCCCCAGTGAGACCTCCAGCAAGACTCCTGTGTTCCAGGGGCGGTCAGCTGGTGGGCACAGAGATGGGGGAGAGCGGGTGGGGTGGGGTGGGAGGCTGAGGGCAGTGATGCCAGCCTGAGGGCTGGAATGGGGCTGGGTGTGAGCAGTTTGTCCCCACAGGAGTTGCACTGTGAACCATGACAGGCTCTTTCTGTTTTGATATAGGTGGCTATTATCATGGAAAACTAGTTTTTCCCAGAGAATTTCCTTTTAAACCTCCTAGTATTTATATGATCACGCCCAATGGAAGATTTAAGTGCAATACGAGGTAAGGCATTTCTGTTTCTCCAGTATCGAGTGAGGTCAGGATTGGGGTGAGCTCTGTTGAGTGGGTCCCTGTTTTGCAGGCTGTGTCTTTCCATCACGGATTTCCACCCAGACACGTGGAACCCGGCCTGGTCCGTCTCCACCATCCTGACGGGGCTCCTTAGCTTCATGGTGGAGAAGGGCCCCACCCTGGGCAGCATAGAGACATCGGACTTCACGGTGAGGGGTGGAGAGCGCGGCCACGTGTTGGGGACTCCCCAGACACTGTGCGGAGACTCCCTGCTCTGGGGCTCCTTGTTCTCCTCAGCAGTGGGAAGAACAGGCCAAGCTTCCTCAGGGGCTTGGGGGCAGGGGGCAGAACGGGCAGCTGTGCAGCCCCGTCCATGGATAGCGAGGTATCTAGTCCTTGTTACCTGGTTTTTATTTTTCCGGTTTTAAAATTTACTTATTTGTTTATTTTTCAAAGATTTTACTTATTTATTGGACAGACACAGATCACAAGTAGGCAGAGAGGCAGGCAGAGAGAGAAAGGAGGAAGCAGGCTCCCCGCTGAGCAGAGAGCCCGATGCGGGGCTCGATCCCAGGACCCGGAGATCATGACCCGAGCCGAAGGCAGAGGCTTCACCCACTGAGCCACCCAGGCGCCCCTGTTTTTCTCTCGTTTAAGTAGGAATTAAAGTTATTAGTTGATGATAATGGAAAGATACATGCGTTTTCATAAGACTGAGTTAGTTTGTTCTGAAGACCGAGTTGATTGGGTGCTTTCAACCACGTGAAGACCGGAGCTTTTGAGGATGACATAGAATTTGAAAAAATGGAAATTAATTTAGAATTTGAAAGAATTGAAATTAGTCTTCGGGCTGATATTTCCGTTCTCTTTCTTCTTAGAAAAGACAACTGGCTGCACAAAGTTTAGCATTTAATTTGAAAGACAAAGTCTTTTGTGAATTATTCCCTGAAGTCGTGGAGGTAAGGGACAGGCCGGCTCCGTTTTGCTCCCCCTTGTCAGGAGCACTTTCATGTCCGAGTCTTCCCCAGAGAAGACTCTGCTGCTCTGGGTCCCTGGGCCGCACATAGACCGTATGGAGAGCACCCATTCCCACGTGCGCCTGTAGGAGCTAATGGGCGGGTACAGCCCTGCCCCTCTCCTCAGGGTGCCCAGGGAGCTAGGGGCTTGGATGTGGTGGGGTTGGAGCTGGGGGGGCCAGGGAGAGGGAAGGACGTCAGGACGTGGAGCTCCTCAGGTGGGCTGCTGAGCCGCAGGGAGGGCCCTTGGCCAGGAGGGGCAGGGTGAGCCACATTAAGGTCGAGGTCCCAGTGATCCTGTGTCGCTTGGACTGACTCAGTCTAGGCCCTGCGAGGTGCAGGCTTGGTGATTTTGACAAGTCCCTGGACCCCTCTTCTGTAAACAGGTTAGCAGCAGCCCTCACCTCCGGGGGTGGGTGTCAGGGTTGAGCACAGGGGGCCGGCGACCGCAGGCCCCACAGGTCTTCCACCCACGGGTGGATCTTAGAATGATCCCTAGTTCTAAAGGAATTTGTTTGTTCAGACCAACCCTTGTTTTTTTCTGTTTTTATCTTAGGAAATTAAACAGAAACAGAAAGCCCAAGATGAACTCAGTAGCCGACCCCAGGCTCTCCCCTTACCAGATGTGGTTCCAGATGGGGAAACACACCATGGTCAGAACGGGCTTCAGCTCCTCAATGGGCACGCGCCAGGGGCTGGGCCACACCTCGCGGGGCTCCAGCAGGCCAACCGGCACCATGGACTCCTGGGCGGTGCCCTGGCGAACTTGTTTGTTATAGTTGGGTTTGCGGCTTTTGCCTACACGGTCAAGTACGTGCTGAGAAGCATAGCGCAGGAGTGAGCCGCGTGCCACGGCTGGCAGAAGTGGTCAAAAACGAGGGACACTGGGCCCGAGCTTGCCACGGGCTGGCTGGACGTGTCGCCGAGCGCAGGGTGGACCTGCCTGACTCCTGGGGTAGCTTTTTAAAAACCTTGAAAAGGAAAACAAAAACCAAAGTGTGTAATTTGGATTTAGAGGAGATGCAAGATTCTCAGCTCCCTGTCCTCACTCTGGGGTCTGTTGGGGACCATGGAGCTTGGGTGCCGAGGAGGAGGGGCCTCACGCTTTGGTTTTATAGCTTATCTCCTGTATCGTCTTTTGGACCTGTTTTAGTAAACCTGTTTTTCATTTTATTAGATTTGGTCACTTAAAAATACAAAACTCGATTATCAAATACTCTGCGTGCATTCTTGGTCCAGTGGAGCCCTGGCTCACCAGGCAGGAGCAGTTCCCACAGCTGCGCCTGGCTGGCAGGGGCAGCGGGCCTGGCCGTGGGGCCCAGGGGCTGGCCAGGGGCAGCCACAGATGGGGGCCAGGAGATGTGGGGCTTTGGGCCTCAGCATTTGAAATGTGTTTGTGTTCATTGGAAAGGAGCAGTCCTTCCTCGCAGAGTGGGTTGTGGAGGTGAAGTTGAAATTCAGCGTCTGTTGCTTTCTGACCACAAGGTGGCACCCCTTCCTTGGAGAGCCACCACGTCCCGCGTGGTCCCTAAGGCGGCCGTCCCTTTACCCTCCTCCCGCCCTCGCCTCCACACCCATGCCAGGCCGGGCCTCCCTCGGCCACCTCCAGGCTCCCAGTGCCCGCAGGACATTTCCTCTGACCCCCAGCAGCCCCCCGGGGTCCATACCTGACAGGCAGGTTCTGTGCACGTCGGGGCTCCCCTCACACTTGGTCCAGATGTGTGCTTTACCCTAAAGGTAGGCTCCCGTGTTCTTCCCGCAGCTGACCCGTGTCCGGTGTGGGCTCTGCCCTGGAAGGCCACACATGGACTGGGCATCCCGGGAAGGACGGGGCCGGCGGGGTGGACACGGCTCCTGGGCTGCTGACCTCTCCGGCAGGCGCCCGTGTGAGGATTCTCACTCCGCGTCCGTTGAGATCGCCGTGTCTGCGGCTCCCGGGCCTCAAGTGTGGCCGTGCACTCGTGCAGCTTCCACATTCTTTGCTTTTTGATCTGTTTATTTAAAATTGCTCTATAGTTTACCACTCGTGTGTATTTAACCCACTCTTGTGAAAAAATCTTTCATTATATCTTGTTCCTAAATGTTGTGCTGTTCGAGTCTCTGTTGGTGGAAACGCAAGCCCATCTCCGCCCAGCGCCGGGCTCACCTGCGGGCAGCCCGCGGCGCGGCCCGTGGGGCTGGAGCTACCGTGTCTGCGGCGCAGCGGCGCCCCGTGAGCAGCCGTGGGGCCCCGCGTGTGTCGGCTGGCGTGCGCTCTGTCCGCGGCCGCATCTGACCCAAGCACTTGGTGTTTCCTGAGGTGTTGAGGCAAGTTCCGCAGCAAATGCTTTACTTAACGTGGGTTATTTCCTTGCCGGGTGTGAAGTGTCAGCTCTTAAAAACCCTTTGTCAGCGGGGCCAACCCATCCGTGCCGAGCCTTCATCCAGTGTCCGCGGCAGCAAGCTTTCTGCAGGGACCCGAGGTGCAAGATGACCTTGGGGTGCCTGGCTGGCCCAGTCAGAAGAGCAGGTGACCCTTGATCTCGTAGTCGTGAGTTTGAGCCCCACATCGGGTGTAGAGATTGGTTAAAATAAATAAATAAACACTTCAACAACAGCAACAAAAAAGACGGACTTGTCCTGTGGGTCCACACATCTGACCCCGTGTCCATGTTGTTCTCCCTCAGAGGCGTCACCGGCCCCTTGCTCTCGTGTGGAGCCCTTGGTGGAGGGCAGTTGGGTGTCCCCAGTGGTTGGCCCATCTGAACCGCTGGGGGCAAGCCGTGTTTGGAGTCTCTTAATCCAGGGACGAAGCCCTGACCAAAGTCAGGCTGCACGGACAGAGGAGAAGGGGTCCTGGGTGGTTTTGCGAAGACCATTCCCAGCATCTCTGCCCCCAAGAAACTTCCCCAGGCCTGAGTTTGAGCCTGGAAGCTTGTGAATGCAGCCGAATGGTCTGGGTCTGAGGCTGGGGTGGCCGTCGGTATGTCGAGGGCATCACGGGGGCAGGCTGCTGTGGGGACGAGGCCCAGCGTCTGGGTTGTGACTTTGTGGGTAGAGAGGTGTGGCTGTGGGCCTGGGCCTCCCCTCCAGGGGCAGTGGGTGTCTGGGGCAGTAGGGTGTGGAGGACTCGAGAGTGGGGTCCCTTTGATGGTTTTCCAGGCAGCTCCCGTGCTGAACTGGGGGAGCTGGGCCCCTGAGAGGACCCATAGGATGCAGGGGAGAGGGAGAGGAAGCACTGGAAAGCAGGGAGCTGCTTCCCTGACACTGGACCTGAGCCCAAGGGGGCCACGTCCCCCTGCAGAGCACAGCCCGGAAGAAGCTTACCAACCAGTGGGCCAGGGAAGTGGTCCTTCCTGTTTATCGTCGAGGTGCCTCGGGATGGGAGCAGAACCTCATGGTTCAGGCACGGTTGGACCTGTTTGAGGCCCATTGCTGTGTGGCTGCCCCGTCCAGCTTCAGAGGCCGTCCGCTGTAGGTCGATCTGCCTGTAGGACTGTGCTGGAGGCTGGCCAGTTGGCAGTGCCCACGGCAGCAGCCAGTCAGGGATGGTCCACTGCCCCCGGCACTCTGCGGACACTTCAGAGCCTCTGAGGATTGGGCTATCAGGATGCAGTTGCTAGAAAAAGAGGTGCCTAGCCTGTCGGGGGCTGTCTAGCAGCTCAGTGGGCGTCTCCTGGGCCACTTTCCTTACCTGGTGTTGGATGCAGGTCACATTGAGGGTCCCAGCCGGGCAGGGCACAAGGGAGTCTTCTGCAGCATGGCCCTCTTCAAGACCCAGGCATTGGGAGCTGAGTCTCTGACAGTGATCCCGCAGTTTTCCATCACTGCCCGCTGTTGTCCCTGAAGCTGACCAGCTCTGCCTGGACCAGGAGGGGGGCGGATGACCCTGGGCAGACACTCCTCACATCTTCCCCACCAGGCTTGGCTCTGGGGATGGCTCTGCCTGTAGCTGCCAACTGTGGACGTGGTCTGGGTCTAGGGTCTGCCTTTGTCATTCCTGGCGGATGTCTGGAAATTGAGGAGTTCCTGGTGGAGGACTCGTGCTGTCCACCAGGACCTTGCTCTCGGCTCGGGGCTAGCCATGGTAGGCTTGGTCCACCAAGGGGCAGCTGTCAGCCCACCTGGCCCCCGTCATGTAGTGATTGACTCTGCAAGGCTTGGGTGGCTTCAGCTGGCCCCGGTCACCCTGTTGCCTGTAGTGTGCTGGTGGTTAAGGAAGGGCACTAACTCTCCCTAGGGACCCACCCACCGGTTTTCAGGTCCCGCTGGGGGAAGTCTTGTTCTCTCTCTCCTCGGACTTCTGTCCCTTTCCCCTGCTGGCTGAAGACCGCAGGAAGCCGAGAGGCCTGGTTGGGTGAGGGCACCCCTTCGGGCAGTAAGGTTTGGCCTTGTGCCCCAAGAAGAGGAGGGGGTGGAAGGACTCGGGGAAAGCCTCAGCCAGGCCGCCCACCATGACTTTCTCTGAGGTCACTCAGTCCCCCCTCTCACTAGACATGCTTACCCCAGTGGAGGGCCAGTGCCCAGGGTCACCAAGCCCGGATGTGGCTGGGAGCCTGGTCGAACAGCTGTCTTTGCCACGTCCTGCCTTTCGCAGGAGCAGGGTCTGAACCAGGCTTCTGGGCATCACCAGGACTCTTGGGTAGGGGGACCTCTGTCAGAGGGCCTGGAGGGGGCCTGGGGTAGGGCTGGAAGGATCCGGAGGGCCTGAATGAAGTGGGTCTTACGCAGGAAGAGCAGATGGGGCTGTCTGTCCTGATGGAGTTTGTCCCTGCCCCTGGGCCTCCTGGATATGAGGTGCTAGGAGCTTTTCTGGGAGCAGGGTGGGGTGAGTTCCTGTCAACAGTTTGCAGGGCCAGTCGGCCCTCCTGGAGAAGGGCGGGGGCTGTTTCCCAGGGCAGGGAGCAGCCCCTTGCCGCAGCCTAACGCCCCCGTCTCCGCCCCCGGGCTGGCAGGGGAGCCCCTGTTGGCTGGCAGAGCCCGCAGAGTGTGAGCCCTCCCCCTTGGAGCTTTGGGGCGGAGGGGAGGGTTTATCTGGCAGCGTGCGCGGGCAGCCAGGGCACTGCATATGAGGGAGGCGGGCGCCGGTCCCAGCCCCGGGGATCGGGAGGGAGTGCGTCCCTGGAGTGGTCTGCCCCAGCTGGGTGCCTGTGTTGCCGTCCTCACCCTGCCTGCACGTGCAGGGAAGTGGCGAGGTGCCCCCGGGGGCTGTGTCTCCGCAGGGGGGGCCCTGAGTGCCGCTGCACCGCTGCCCCCATGAGCACACCTGGGGGTACCCGCTCACCGGGCTGAGCCGCCACTGGGGTCTGGAGCTGCCGGGCGCCATGCACTGGGCTTGGGCGGCCGCTGCTGTGGCCCTCGGGCTGCAGCTCTTGCTCCTGGGGGCCGTTGGGGCGCGGCGGGAGCCCAAGAGGCCTCAGCAGCCCAGCCAGCGCACTGAGCCCCCCACCGCCACCACGTCCCACAGCGAGGGGCTGCTGGGCTCCCCCAAGGTACGCACGGGCTGGTTGCACGTGGGGCGGGTTGTGTATACTTGTAGGCTTAGGGCGGCCGCTGGCTCTTGGCGGGCCACTGGCTCTTGGCGGGCCACCTTCTCTCTGGCTCTGCCCTGCCTGGTGCTCTGGGCCTCCCTGGCCTGTCTGGGTGGAGTGGGGCTTTGGGCAGGACTCGCAGCAGCTGCTCTTGGGGCAGCCACTGGGGCCCTGGGCCCAGGGGAAGGGTGGGGGAGGGGAGGGGCTGTGTTGGACCCTTTGAAGCCCCAGGTCCCACATGCCTCTAGCAGCCTGCTGCGGAGCAGGTTGTGGGGGGAGCCCCCTTGTTGGGAATCCAAGTAACCCACAACTTGGGTGGCTGGAGAGGCGAAGGCTAGCTTGGACCCTGTGCTTCCTGGAGGTCCTTGCCCTGACCCCCCCCACTGTGTGCCCAGCACCCCTGATGGCCTCTGACATAGCCAGTGTTCTGGTCCTTGGAGTCCCTCTGGCCTCAGTCTGCCCCTGGGGTCCCCTCTGAGACCACCCCCCTCAGCCTTGGCCCTCCACCATCTTGGGCCAGGTCTCTCCGGGGGGGGCGGTTGGAGCTGACCCCAGCAGCATGGGTCTGCCCCTGTGGGGGCCGCGGGCCTGAAAAGAGAGAGGCAGTTGCTGGGGCAGGCCTCCCACCGCCCAAGCCCTCATGCCTTTGATCCTGGCCTCCCGCCTCCAAGGGTGTCTCCGTTGCAGCCAGCGCGGCTGCTCTCAGCCCACGCGGCCCGTTGGAGCCTGAGGCCCCATTTTCCAGATGGGCAGGCTGAGGAGTGTGAGTCCTCGGGCCCTGCCAGCCAGAGAAGGGTGGGCTACTGGCAGCTTCTGGGGGTAGGCACGGGTCCGCCTGGGGACAAACAGGCAAATCTCTATTCCAGGAGTGTCTCCATTGTGGGGGGCTGCCATGTGACACATACCCCAGACCGTGGGACCCCTGCTTCTCCTGCTGGGGGTGGACTCACCTTCCACCTGCCCCTGCCTCCTGTAGCCCTTGGCCCGTAGACACCACTGACGGACTTGTCTCGAGGCCCCTGAGTCCCTCAGGTGTGGCTAGGGAGGATGGCAGCCAGGCCACCAGGCAGAGAGCAGATACACCAGGAACCAGGATATTCAAATACTCCTGGCTTCTCCCTCTTCTCTGGGTGGGCCCCAGATCAGGGGTGGGAGGCACCCTCCCTGCCCCTCCTGTCCTGTCTGGTCTCCTGAGAAGCCCTGCCCCTCCTGGGCTGGGAGGCAGCGCCTGGCCTTGGAACCTGGTTCTTGCCATGTCTGGGACCGAGGGCCGCCCGCCGGACTGGACCCCGCAGTCGGGGCCTCTCAGCCTGCGCTGCCGGAAAGAGCCCTCTGAGGGTGGCCAGGGCTCTGCTCTAGCCCTGTGGTGGTGGCGGTCCCCCAGCCAGTCCGGCGTCTGCTGTGTTCCTGCCCGTGGGATGAGCTTCCTGCCCCAGCCTGGCCTGCAGGCTGCCTCAGAGCCGGCCGACTCTCCCCAGCCCACACCCCTCAGTGGGATGTGCTTTTCGACTGGGGCTTCGGGGGCTGCTGCCTCTCGGGCTTGTCCCGGTGCAGAAACTGGGCTGGGGGGAGTGGGTGGAGGGGAGAGGGGGGCATGGTCTCAGGCAGCTCTGCCCCTCCCAGCCCTTGCTTGGTCAGGTGGGCTGGGCCGCTGTGGCCTGGGTCCGAGCCCAAGGAGCCCGGCCAGGGCTGTCCGCTCACCCACCTGACGCCCAGCGCAGAGCGGGGCCTGTGCCTGTGCTTTCCCCAGCTCTGCGGGGCTCTGAAGCTCTTAGGGAGCACCCCCCACCCCCGAGAACTTACTCCTGCTCTTTACTGCCCACCTGCGGGGACGTGTGGGGCAGGCCCGTGTCTACATGGGTGTGCCCGTCGGCTTGGGAACCCGGTGCAGTGGGAGCGGACATGGTCGCTCCAATACGGAACCAGAACCAAGGTGCCTGGACATCAGGTCCTGGCTTCCACAAAGGCCCCAAGCCCTTTCCCTGTGTGTCCTGGTCTGGGTCCCTAGCGGTGGCCTGCAGTGACCCATTACCATGTTTTTCATGTGTGCTGAGTCCTGCCCCAGGTGGCCTGGGCCCCGAGTCTCTCCACTCTCCCCTGGGGACAATAGGGGAGGCCTCGTGGGGGCCCGGTGGCCAGCACAGTAGCTCTGTCCTCTGGCCCTGCAGCCACCTGAGGGCCTGGGGTCTGAGTTCTCAGACGCCCACATGACCTGGCTGAACTTTGTCCGGCGTCCACATGATGGGGCCTCCAAGAAACGGTGCCGGGGCCGGGACAAGAAGTCGGTGAGCTCTGGGGTCTGAACCCAGGGGAGGGGTGGCTGTGGCTCCCACTGGGACCCTAACTTTCTCCTGCCACCCCTCAGCGAGGCCTCTCTGGCCCCCCTGGGCCGCCCGGGCCCCCCGGGCCCCCTGGGCCCCCCGGTGCCACAGTCACCCAGGAAGCCCTGCTGCGAGAGTTTCAGGAGATGCTGAAAGGTGAGACCCCGTCCCAGATCTTTCCGCCTGGGCCCTGGGGGTGACCACACCCTGACCCTAGACGCTGCTCTCACCCTTTCCCCACAGAGGCCACTGAGCGCCGGTTCTTGGGGCTGCTGGGCCCATCGCTGCCTGAGGGGACAGGGCGGCTGGTGGCCGAGGCCTTCCACTGCGCCCTGAAGGGCCCCCTGGTGGTGGACGAGAAGACGCTGGTGGAGCTGCATGGCTTCCAGGCTGTGAGTGCGCGTGGGGGCGGGCCTGGTCCTCTGGGGTATCTGCGAGGTGGGGGGGGGGGGGCTCCTCGTTTCCCAGTAGGGGCAGTGGGGGGGGGGGGGCCAGGTGCTGGGTCGGCTCCCCACTGCTGGGCGAGGCTCATAGCCAACCTAGGACGACAGTCACCCAGCACACACACATGCAGAGGGTGCCTGGGGAGCCAGGCACAGGGGGGTGGGGTGACCTGAGTCAGGATTGGCAGGTCCTGTGTGCCACAACTTTGGGTGGGGTCCAAGGGGGCCAGGAGCCAGGGATGCCTTCCCTGGTGGGGGCTCTTGAGGGTTCTTCCATCTCTTGGGCCCTGGAGCCGCGTGGGCCCAGAAACACGGGTCCCCCGCTGCCGATCCTGCCCACTGGGGCCTGCTTGTGGTGGTGGCTGTCGGTCACAGGCGCCTCCCCCAGGCTGGATGTGCAAGATGAGGGCCCGGGCGCTGCAGCTGGCTGTTCACCTGCTGTCCCTCCAGCCCACGGCCCAGGGCGCCTTCCTGCGGGGGTCTGGCTTGAGCCTGGCCTCAGGCCGGTTCACAGCCCCATTGACCGCCATCTTCCAGTTCTCCGCCAGCCTGCACGTGGGTGAGTGGGGGCCAGCCCCCAGTCCTGGGCCCCCTTGAAGCCATGCCTCCATCCCCACCTCCCGCTGGGGCTCTCGCTGAGGGCCCACTCGGCTCCAGCTTGGCCGCTCCTGGGCCTGCACCTGGCTGTCTAGCCCCTGCCCCTCGCTGCTCTGTGCTCCCCGGGGGGCTGCTGCAGGCGTGCCTGTCTCCACAGACCGCAGGGAGCCGCAGGGCAGGGCGCGGGCTCGTGACACCGTGCGGGTGCTTGTCTGCATCGAGTCCCTGTGTCATCGACACACGTGAGTGGGCCTTCCTTGGGGGCACTGTTGATGCTGCGGGGGCCGCAGGGGTGGTGGCCAGGCCTGGACAGTCCTGCCTGCGGAGGGGGAGGGGCTGCTGCAGGCGCAGAGCTGTCCCGTGTACCCGGGTGGGGTCCTGGCCCCGCAGCTGGCGGCGCCCTCACCCCACGCTGTGGTGCTGCGTCCAGGTCCCTGGAGACCGTCTCGGGCCTGGAGAGCCGCGGCAGAGTCTTCACCGTGCATGTGGAGGGGCTGCTGCAGCTGCAGGTCAGGCGGGAGCCCGGCCGGGTGGGGAGGGGAGGGGACGGGCCCCAGGCCTGGAGCCTTTGCCTGGCCCCGCTCAGCCCTGCGCGCAGATGACGCCGGCCACGTAACCCCCGGGGTGGGTGCTGCCTGGTGGGGCCGCGCTTCATTCCTCTGTGCTGCCATGGCTGGTGACGCCCACTGTGGGGGTCCACAGGCTGGACAGTACGCCTCCGTCTTCGTGGACAACGGCTCTGGGACAACCCTCACCATCCAGAGTGGCTCCAGCTTCTCCGGCCTGCTCCTGGGCACGTGAGGGCCAGACAGGGGGCCCACGGGGCCCACCCACCCCCACTGTCCACTGTTAAACCTGTGGTCCCAGCAATAAAGAGCTCTCAGCCCTCGCTGTCGCGTGGTTACTGTGTCATCATGCGGGGGGGGGGGTGCAGCCCTGGAAGGACATGTGGGCTGGAGTCCAGTCTTGGAAGCAGTAGCCTATGGACATCTGCGGGGCCGCGGGGGCCCAGATCCATTCAGCCTGGGGCACCACAAGTCCCAGAAGCTGGTGAGTCCGATGGCGGCCCGATGCCATTTGCTGTCACTGTCTGGGACGCAGAGGGCAAGGTGGGGAGCCCTTGGGAGGGCCTTGCCCTGCGGGGTCAGGTGTGGGGAGCACACAAGTGGAGGCCCGCGCAGGGCTGCACCGTGAACCTGTGGGGGGGGCGGGCCTGCGCGCCGCGGTGCTAGTGCGCATGCGTCTGCGGGGCGGGGCCAAGGGCACCCTCCACGCCCAGCGGCTGCCCCCGCGGCCGGAAGCAAACCACGGGGCGGGGCGCTAAGGCCCTGCCTGCGGGTCCTGTGGATTTGGGCTCTGTACCCGCACCCTGATTCGGCTCCGGGAAACCCAGACCAAAGAATGTGAATTGGTCTCGGGATGTCCGGGCCTCTGCGGAGCTGCTGAGATACCATCTCTGTCTGGCACTTGGGCCCTCGGCGGCAGCCCCACCTGGAGGGCCGAGGCCAGGCCCCTGGCGTCTCCCCAGATGCCTGGGGGCTGGGGGCAGGGCCTGAAGCCCCCCTTCCAAGGCGGAGCAGGGAAGGGCCTCCCCGGCCCTGTGAGTGGGCGGGGGAGGGGGAGGGCAAGTGCTCCGGGGTCTTCGGCTGGCTCAGGGGGCGGGGATGGGAGGCAGGGCGGGAGGAGATCGGAGCCCGAGGGCCGTTCTCCAGCCCCTCCCCTTGGGGACCCTCCCTGCAGCCGGCTGAGTAATGAGGCAGGAGAGGCTGGTGCCGGGCTGGCGGCAGCCCCTGCAACCACGGGCTTGGCCGATGACCCGTCCTCACCTCTCTCCCTGGTCGCCCCAGGGTGGCGTCAGGGGCCGGGTGGCCGAGCTGGGGGTGTCTGCTTTGTAGTGGCTGCAGGCGCCAGCCCGGTCTGAGTGGGGGTGCTCTGGCAGCTTGCGGGGTGTGGGGGGGACGGGGCCTTCTCCGGGGAGGTTGGGGGAGGAGGGGCACACTGGGGAGACGGAAACTCAGGAGGGGGCACTGTCTCCCACTTCCCATTACTGAGGTCCTGCGCCAGGCTCCGCCATGGGCACTGTCCATGTCTGACCCCCATTTACAGAGGGGAAAGGGGGGCGGGAATGCCGAGAGACAATGGCCAGCACTGGGCCAAACTCTCGGCTGTGCCTGGGGCCTCTCAGCGTCCAGGGGGGCTCCCCACTTCCCTACAGGTCTTTCCATGGCAGCCAGTCCCTTCCATGCCAGGTCCTCCTGGACCTGGTTGGGTCCAGGAGGGGACAGGTCTCATGGTATCCAGACGTGCTTTGGGGACTGTGATGACAGAGATGGAGACCCAGACCCAGAGATGGGGCCCAGGGTCCACAGACAGTGACAGATAGGTGAGGACAGATGAGAGGCGAGGACAAGAAGGATGAACCAGGCCAGCCCCGTGGAGCCTGTGGTGGGCAGGTGGCCAGGGCCCGGGCCCGCCGCTCAACAGCAGCTGCCTCCAGGTCTGTCTGGTCTTCCTCCCTGTTTCTGTTACCCCTAATCAGAGGTCATTAGCCACTTAGCTGTAATTCCCCTGGAATGTGCTGTCCCCGCTTGGGCCTCCATGGCTGAGGGACTGGGAGCAAAGGCATGTGGGCGGGGTTGGGCCATGGTGGTTGCCCTATGGCATCGAGTGTTGTGAGCTGAGGGGGCCCAGGGGTCAGGCCCCCACGGACACAGGGTGGACTCCCAGGGTGAGCAAGGGGCGGGTGCAGAGTGAGGCTCCCAAAGGCTGAGCCCGCCTTCCAGAGCCCAGGTACCCAGCCCGCAGAGAGAAGGGAGGGCGGTCTTCTGTGAAAGGGAGATGAAGATTGTTACGGAGCAGACCCTGGGACGCCCTTCAGTGGAAAGAAGCTTGCTGCCCTGTTGCCCTCAACCCCGACCGTGGTGTTCAAAGAGCTCCCTGGGGTCTGGGCAGCGGTCTGGAGCCCCCTAAGGGGCCCTGGGCCCTCGCAGTGATGCCCAGCCTGAGCAGGGGCTCCAGGGAATGGGAGAGCCTGGGAGATGGGGATCTTTTCCGGGCCTGATCTCTGGCTTTGTAGCTGGGTTTTGGGGTGGCCTGAGCGTCTAGCTGGGGCCAGAGTCAGAGTGGCTGCACAGCTCTGTATGGCTTCGGGTTGACCCTTGACCCTGAGCCCTGCCCCGAAGCAGCAGGAAGTAATGGGCTGACCTTCACTGACCTCCTTTAGGACTCACTTCCCAGAACCTCCATCTGACCGTGGAACTTGCCAGACAGGGCTCGGCGCCCTGCTGTGCTAGGTAGGGTCTCCGGGGAGGGGGCAGCCGTCCTCTGGTATTCCCCAGCCCTGCACAGTCAGAGTCCCGGTCTTCGGGCAATGGCCTGCCACTGACGGGCCCCACGGTAGCCTTGGGACGCCGAGTGGGGGTGTCTCGGTGTTGGGCCGCAGGCTGGCCTTCCAGCACCCTGGGCACGTCCGGTTTGAGAGCAGACAGGAATGTGGGTATCTGGCTTGGGACAGCTGGAAAGTGCTCTTGGGGGCCAGGAGCCCCTGCCAGCTGCACGGCCAGGCCCCGCCCGAGGTCTGTGACAGGGTTGGAGGGGTCCAGGCTGTGAGCAAGAAGGCTGCCGGTTCCCTCTTCCTTCTCTGTGGGGCCCTGAGGAATGGGATGGGGTAGGGGTGAGGCTGGCAGGAGCCCCCCCCCCCCGGAGCCTGGGCCCGGGTCCCTGCAAGAAGTATGGGCGTCAGCATACAGCCCGGCCAGGCCAGCTCTGGGTCTGAGTTCGCCCCTTCAGGTCGGGCCTGCGGCTGGTGAGGGGGCCGTTCCAAGGGCAACTAGCTCTCCCCAGCCGGGTCAACTCCCGGCACACCTGGGAGTTTCTCACTTCCAGACCAGACGTGCTGACTCCTGTGACCTGGGCCAGGAACCGAGATTTGACCTGGGGGTGCGGGGGTCTGGGTGGCAGTTTCTCAACTCATGTCTTTGGGTGTGCCTGTCCCTGGGCTGACCTGGTGGTGGCTGGGATGGGGTCTCTGACTTGGAGGGGTGGGGCTGCAGAGTGCTGCTGAGGGTGTCTGGGAGAGCTATGTGTGGGGTCGGTCTCCGTGTCTCCTCTCTCTCTGCCTGGGACCAGGACAGTCTGTGCTAAGCTGGGGCACGTGGGAGCACACACAGGGCAGGTGTCCAGGACCTCGTGGCTGGAGCCCCGGGCCCACCAGTCGCTGAGCTTGTGAATGGCTGGGCTTGGCGTCCTTGGTGTCAGGGAGGCCAGCTGGCTGGACCGTGCTGGGGGTCACAAAATGGCTGGACCCTGAGGCGGAGAAGTGCTGCTGCGAGTCCTCAAGCTGGGCTCACTGTGGTGGCTGGGGACACTGGGCGATGGTGGCCAGGGACAGGGATTCCTCACGCCCATGGAGGAGCTTGCAGCACACTGTCCTGGGGCAGAGGCTCCCTGGGGGCAGCAGGAAGCCTTATCTCCCCCAAGGTCTCTATCCTGCACACAGGAGGATCTAAGGCCGGGCTGGCCTCCAGAGATGAGCTGGGGAGCAGTGGGGGGTGGGGTGGCCTCCCTGGGGTCTTGCTCACCGGCTGGGCTTGGCCAGTGCGTCCTGTGGGCTCTGAGCGCTCCATGACCTGAGGGTCCTGCCCTAGGGTCAGCCAGCTGCTGAGGCCCTAGCCCCAGGCACTCGAGCTGACCCAAGAGTGGAGGCCTTCAGCCTGCAGCTGGGTCCAGGAGGGCTGGGAAGCACGACCAGGGGTCAAGCACACAGCCCTGAACCACACCTGTGCCTGCGGCTGCCATCAACACATCTGCCTGTGAGTCTGACGGTGTGCACAGGCGGGCCTGGGGGCGGGGGTGGGGGTAGTGCTGGGGCACAAAGGGCCTTTGTTCAGGAGGTTTGGGGTGCAGCCCCGGCTCCGGGGCAGTGACTCATGGGTTCCTCTGGTGTGATAGCGTCAGTTCTGCAACAGCCTGCATGTCCCACACACCCTGGGCAGCCTCGAGGGTAGGAGGGACCCCCACCCGCACCTGCTGCCCCCCAGGCTGCTCTGTTGGAACCTGGCTCTGAGAGGGGGCGGCAGCGAGAGCAGGAGCAAACAGGAAGGGTGTCAGAGGGCCAAGCAAAACTCCACTTCTGAAGTAAAGCCTGTCCAGAAGCAGCCACTCTGCCTCCCGGCCCTGCTGTGGGTGGGAACGCCTCCCAGCCACGGCCCCAGCAGCCAGAGGGCCGGTGGGGGGGGGGTCCCTTGCAGCAGGGTGCTCCAGAGCTAGGCCCCAGGGCATGAGGAGGCTGCCAGATCTCTCCTCCTGTGGCTGGAGGGCCTGACACGGGTGACTAGCTGTCACGGGCTGGAGCCGGCTCTGGCCATCTATCCGTCACTCCCTTTGCAGGATCAAGCGGGCGCCCCCCCCCCCCGTGTCAGGGTGCAGGGGCCCCTTGGGGGCTGGGCCTCCGAGCTCCAAGGATGCCGCTGGAAGGAGGGGGTAGGCCTTGGATTGCCTTCTCCTCTAGTCGCCAGGCGGGGTCAGGCCGTGGGTTGGTGGGAGGCTGGGTCTGGGTGAGGGTCTTTGTGGGGTTCCTGGGCAGTGGCCCTGCCTGTGTTTACTCTGGAGGACGGAGCAGGAGCAGCCTGTGGTCCAGGCTCCCTCCGGTGGACAGAGCAGTACACTGTGCAGGCTGCTCTGTGGCCCCGGCTTCCCCCTGGCCTTGGGCGTCACCCAGCAACGGGAGCGCTGCTTGGCGAACCTGCTGCTCACAGCCGAAGAGGTCTAGGGCTGTGAGCACAGGAAGTGCAGGGACCTGGGGCCAGGGGTACAGGGACACCTGTGCATGGAGGCCACTCTGGGCCCCACCCCCGCGTGGGCGGGGGCCACAGATGTGCGTGGGAGGG